CCTACCCTGCTTGTGGAACTCTATTTCAGCAGGATAAACATTGCTTTGCATAAAACAAAATTGACGAGAATTTGTCTTTTCTGTCTTCTCGAAGGCCTTGATTGTCCCTTGCTCACTTTTGCTTGCACTGTATATTCCCCGTGACGGGGAGCAGCAGCAGCAGCAGCAGCAGCCCCAGGAGCAGTGGCTCTGCTACCAGCTTTGCATTTCAAAGGGGAGGAAGCATTTCCCAGGATCACTTCAAAGTGCATGTGCCTTTGCATTTACACACGTTATAATCTGCGGAGGGTCGCAAGGCTACCAGCAGCATTGGGTAATACGTAGAGCCAGGGCTGGTCCTGCTCTGTGGAAGGGCATCTCACACAGCCCCGATCCTCGAGAAGGAAGGGGGCGTTTGTGGCTCTGCGGAGCACCCGAAGTGACGCACACAGCCGGGACGGGAGCTGCCCAGAGCAGGCCCAGCCCGCGCTCCGGGGCCAGCGCTGCCGTGGGACCCGTCACCATCGTCCCGAAGTGGCTCTCACCTGCTGCGCCTTGCTCAGGCACTCTTGAGCTGAAACATTTTGCTGCTGCCCCCTCGTGCGCTGCTCCGTGGCAGTCCCGCAAGCCTGTGAAACAGGGCCTGCTGGTGGGAGCCACAGCTGCGCCCCGCAGCAGCCCACGCAGCCTTAAAGGCTTCTCCTGACTGTCCTGGGGCTTTATCAGTTAGAGTAGTTAAAGGACAAAGGGAGTATGTCAGCAGTGCAAACGGGTACTATTTAGTATTTATTCCTCATTGTATGTAATTGTTTTAGGAAGGCTCTGCAAGGGTGTGTTCTGTCTACCATACTGCCTCTCTTAATAAATGAATAAATACATTGTTTGCATTAATACTGGGAATCTACATATTGTCTAGTTTAGAAAACTTAGAAGGAGGTAAAAGAAAACCAAGGAGGAGGCACTGTGTACTCAGCAGGAAGGAAGGAGTCATCCCTGCTGCCAGCGCCGGGCCGAAGCCTCATCAGGAGGGTGGGATGCGAAGGCAGCAGCCGCTCCTTGATCTCGGGAGCGTCATCGGATCCGGCCCCTGAGCTCCAAATCCACTGCCCACTTCGAGGCAAAACCCGGAGGGAGCAGGGACCTCCAGCCCACATCTCCTCTTGTACCGGCTGCTTCACTCCACATCCAGAGAGAAAATATAAGAAATAAATTGCTGGAAGACAAATTAGTGCTAAAGACCCTTGAGCATGTTTGCACTTCAGATCTGTGTGTGGACAGGGCCTCAGAGAGCCGGTAAGTGCATTCACACACGTTGTGACGGGCACTGCGCCTGTCAACCCCCGTCCCCTTGGCTTGCTGCTCCTCGGGGACTATATACTAGTATAGTAGTGTGTGTATATATATACTTACATATATACTTTTGCCATAACAAGTCCTGGCCTTATGTTTCCTTATTCTTACTTTTCTCTCTTAACATGAATTCTACCCTTTAAGTTACATCATAAACCTACGCCAACACCAAAAAGTGGGTAGATATCTGTGTAGCAATTGAGACAATAGTTTTTCCTAGGAGATGGCCATGTTACAATTCAAAGGGACACATACTGAGGCCAGATACAATATTTTTTTGCCTAAGCCATGGCAGAAACAAAGACATCTGCACTTCAGAAGGACTGCACCAAATCCCCCACCTTAGCCTCCCGTATCGCAGCAGGTTTCTGGCTCCAGAAATGGCCATTTCTGACCAACACACCAAGTTATACCTGTTTTCAGCATTAAAACACCCCCAGGCCCCTGTGACCGTCTGGCTGCCCTCACCCAGGACAACCACCAAGCAGGGCCCTAGAGGAAAAACCACCCGTTTCCCTCTCTGCTGACTTGCTTTTACGGGATCTGCTCAGGGCAGCTTCTCTCTTTCCCTTCAGGGAAAGCTGCTCGCCCTGCCCTCTCCCCACCATCACCTACATCATAGGGAGAATGGAGGTTATTTCTACTTGTAGTTGGTTCCAGGTCTGAGAGAAAGGAATGGAAAATTCAGCACCTGCAGCAAAGCATAGCTGATGTGAATGTAATGGAGCTGGGGAAGGAGAGCAAATTAAATAAACACTTAGGAAAAAGATTTAGGAGAATCTTAAAAGAAAAATTAAACAATGCTTGAGCCCTCTACTTCTTCCTTGTAAATGTATTACGGGATCTTTCCCATGGCAGGAGAAGCAAAAGGGTTAAGAACAAGGAATATGCCAGTCAAACCAGGCTGGATAGCTGAAACAAACAGATCCTTTCATACTAAGTTGGATTTGCCCAGCTCAATGTTTATGTTTGGGTAGTAAGTACACAGAAAGACTTATTATTTGGCCAAGGTGGCTAGAAATAGCCTTCAGGCCAAGTCAAAGCTACTTCTAATTTGGGACTGCAGTGCTAACTGAAGGTCTTGCTCTCACACAGATGTGCAGTTGTGGAATGATGGCTTTTCTGAACCCTGAAATCAGCCTTCAGCAAACTGCTCCTGAACAGGAGGTGGGCCAAAGACCACGCACCATCCACACCCAGCGCTCATGGAGCACAACTGAGGAGTGCATTCCTTTGCCAGTGTGGCTCAAAGCATGCTCTTCAGCTTGAGGTTTTTTTCAGGTGCTTCCTCAAACACTCCTCTGTCTCCCTTTGCAGAGCTGGCTTTACTCAAGCAATAAACAAACCTTTCATTCGTACGTTTGAGCAACATACTTGAGACTTGAGCTAAATCAGAAGCTTGAGGAAATTCAGCACACGCTGCATTTAGTTTTGTACTCCTACCTCCAAGCAGTGTCAGCTGTGCTCCCATCGAAGATAATGTGTACGTGTGTGTGTGTATACCTTTTTTTTGCCTGAGGTCCAGCTTTGAGGTCGTTGTGGTCACATCAGCACCATTCCCAGGGCCTGTGGGAATCCAAACTCCAGCGCTCCCGCCGGGCAGGAGGCACCCGCCAGGGGCTGGATCTCACAGGCAGTTACTGGAGAGGGCACCAGGAGCCGGGTTCCCAACACTCTCCTCTTCGGGAAACGCCGGTGGTGGCACCGAGCCCAACCAGACCCCTGTATGGTGAAGAGCCGGGCTCCTTGTGGGGAGCCACCGTCCGTGGGGCTGCTGAGGGCCAAGGCCCTGGCCAGGCAGCCCAGCGCGCTCCCCCCCAGCTCTCCTGCCCACATTTACTGCAAAAAAACTCATTCCAACAGGGCTGCTGGAGTGCCAGGGCGTCATAACATGAACGAGCAAGCAACTGAGGATTCACAACTTTTAATTTTTAAGAAAAAAGTTACATTACATTTATTTTTCATAATATTTTTTCAACAAGGCCTTCTTGTTAAAGCTTTTTTAAGAAAAAGGGTCTATATGATTCACACCTGCGTGGAGCTTTGCAGATCACACAGTAGTTACCAAACAGCTATATTGCACAAGGACCCACACATTACCACACCGTTCTTAGCTTAAGTCTACATCGTAAAGTGCTGTTTTGTAGGAAGAAACTTATTTTGGAGAAAAAAGAAGTACCTGGATAAACAAATATCACCAAACTGCATTTTGAAGAGATAAAATTTCTCCATTGCAGTTCCAAAAGAAAATCCTTTGTCTCTAACAGTATGTTTTATTTTTAAGAAATGGGAGTAAGCACCATATAGTACTGTAATGAATGTGTCCAAAGTATTCAAGTAAAACCAAATGCCAAATCAACTTTTAAACTCAGTGAGATAAAAACAAACAGATATCAAAATACAGATAGCTGTTGTCAAGGAGTTTTTAAAGTAGCATCCAGTAGAGTAAGTAATTGCATAGCTGAGCAAATCTTAAATGAATGTAAGGCAAGGCCAGAGTAGAAAAAAAATGAATTCTTTATCCCCTTCTGTATTGTAAAATCAGGACTATTTTTTTTTCCAATGAGAAATGAGTCTGAGGGATTCTAGTTATTCAAGATAAGGTGTTCAGTTTATAAGGATTTCTTTAAAATAAATAGTAATGAACTGCTACAAGCTAGAGATATTGCTCCAGATGTTTACAAAGAGTCCAATGCAGAACTGTGGAATGCTAACCATAACATAAATTGTGCCATTTAGACCAGTTACTGAAACACAGGAATCAAAAATGACATATAAGATATTCATTTGTGGAAATGATTTGATTTGGGAACAAAAGGCCCGAAAGCCCAACTCTCTAAAATGTATAGCTTTAAGCTTACGGTAGATTTGGTGCATAAAGGGACAGATGGGGACACAGCTACTGAAGACAGAATCCTGTCTCCCGGGTCTGTCTGACTCCACTGATTTCACACACGGAAGCATGAGTGAACTGGTCAACACTGTGCACTAGAACTGAAAAAGTTCTCAGTAGGTCACTGAACAACTCGTGGATTGATGAATAAAAGAGAAACAAAACAGAAGGAACAATAAATATTACCATGGGAAAGAGATTTGCTGGGTCTCACTACCACTTATTTGAGATACTGCACAATGATCTAGGAAAGGAATTAATCCAGGAAGGACATTTGTGTCCTCTACAAAATTAATCAGGAACAATCCAGTCTAGAAACAATTGTGAAGAGCTGCAGGAGGCCCCGAGGACTAAGTCACTAGTCAAACTGACAGATAAAATTCAACATTAATAAATACAAAATAACACAGAGAGTGAGGAATCCTACAGGTGCACGGCATGTTCAGAACTCATCACTGGGATCATGCAGAACATTGTAAAACCACAGTAAAAAGCAAAATCCGTAACGGGCATGGAAAGGCTTCCACGCCATGGGCAGCTGGGCAGGCAGGAAACACGGGTATGAAGGAAAGAAGGACGGCGAGGGTGGACCACGGGGAATCCTTTGGGCTACCTCTCTGTGCAGCGGGTCTCTATCGCTGGGAGGTGCCGGCGGGCAGCGCGTGGCGGCGGAGCCAGCGGCCCCTCCGCACTGACCCGTCTCCTCGGCCGCCCCACGGAGCCCCCGGGAGAGGACGCGGGCGGCTGCATCCAGAGCCGCGCGACGCGGGCGGCCGCGCAGCGAAGCTCTTGCACCGCCACCGACATTCGTTCAAGTGCGCTCTGATGCCCAGCTCCCAGTTCTACAACTCTATCACATGTACTTCATTAGCAACTTAATAAGCATACTCCACACACATTCATCAAGATGGGCGACTATGCCCCAAAATCAGAAAGCACCAAGATATATTAGAAACATCCTTCACTTTAGATCCCCTTTTTTTTTTCACAATGCAAGTACTTGAATGGATTTTTACACAGATTTCAGACAGATGCAAACACTACTACCCAGTACAGCTATTAACATGAGAGGAACAGAAATTTGCACAGAGACAACCTTTAAGGCAAAATTTGGGTCTCAAAACTTAATCAGTGCTTTTTTTTTTTCTTTTTTAACATCCTTACTAAAAACAAGCCTTCACTGAATACAAAGTTAACTTATAAAACATGTTTTAACAGAAATACCTGAATTTAAAAGTTCGCATTTCATTACTTGTGTCAATAACTTGTTTGCTTTTGCCCACATACTAGGTACTGTTACTCATACATGCAAATAATTCAGACTTCCCACATAGAAGTCTGATGTTTAAGGTCAAATTGCACTTTCTTTATATTATGCAGCCTATACTAAAAACCTGAAGAGCAAAGAAACTTATCATTATAAGCCACCAACTATACACCACACGTTGGAGTTTTATATTATAGCCACATTAAAGATACATGAAATAGGATCAGTTTTTCGTTTGCCGTTCTCCTTCCAAATACAACCTAAAGGTTCAGCTGCAGTTTTGATTTCTCACTGTATTTGTCCAAGTGTTATTTAGCACTGAAATGCCCAGCTAACAGGTTAGTCAGAAAGCATCTGACCACTCAAATGCATTCAGACAGATTTCTTAAAGGATAATGGCAATCACACACCAACAGGCTCAACTCTGTTAATGCAAGACCAACTGTGTAAGGATTTGAATTACTTAAAAGGCAGATTTCTACCCCGAGGAACAATTTTGGTTGCTAGGCAAATTTCTTCCCTCCCCCTTGAAGGACAGTCTGTGGAGAAGAGCATCGCACAGATCACAAGAAAGGCAAGAGAGTTACCAGAAGGAAGAACATTCCCCACTTGTAGAAGCAGCTGGGCCGTTCGCTTTAAAAATCATGACCCAAAGGCTCGTGTGCAGCACTTAAATATGATGTAATTAATTAATAATGATGTAATTGAATGCCAAGGCAGTACGCCTCTGCTCTCATTTTCCATCTCAGAACACCTGTGGGAAGAGATCACTGTATTATATGTCATCTTGGTACTCCAAGCAGTTTGCTACGATGGGTTCCTCCAGATGAATTCCTGAGCCACCCATTAAAGCAAAAGCCGGATACATTACTCCAGAGCAGTCCACCTGGCGCTCATAAAGGCATTTCATATGATCTGCATCATAGAATCCAACCTTGCCTTTCTCATAGTCAAGGCAGACCCCTATACACGATGGCATGGGAAGAATTCTGCTTGCTGAATCTTTGGGGGCAGCAGGCGCCTTCGGGATAAAGAAGCTTCTCATGCCTAAAGTGACCATTGTAAAAGGCTGTGATGATTCGAAACAGGTATCTTCACTCCCACTGTCATGACCACTGTCTTGTTCATATCTAGAACAGAAAAACAACCATTAGCTTTTGTCAAACTGTGAAGTGTGGTCAGCAACTTAAGCATGAGAAAATAATTTTGTAAGACTAGTAACACTACACAAGCACTCACAAAAGCTTGTGCAGTAAGGATACTCCTACGTGTGGAGGAAAGACCTCCCTGGATAGCCTGTTCCAGAGCCCTGTCACCCTCACAGGAAAGTTGTTCTTCCTCATGTGGAGATGGAAATGCCTGTGTTTAAACTTGTACCCACTACCCCTTGCCCTACAACTGGCCACCGAGAAGAGTGGCCTCTTTACATTCTCTTCTCAGGTATTTGTGCATATTGATCAGATCTCCTGTCAATCTTCTCTTCTCCAGGCTAAACAGGCCCAGCTCACTTAACCTTTCCTCGTACAACAGATGCTCCAGTCCCTTAATCATCTTTGTTGCTCTTCTCTGGACCCTCTCTGGAAGCTCCACGTCCCTCCTATACTGGGGAGCCCAGAACTGCCCCCAATACTCCAGGTGCGGCCTCCCCAGAGCTGAGCAGAGGGGCAGGATCCCCTCCCTCCACCTGCTGCCAACATCCTCCTGATGCAGCCAGGAGCCCATGGGCCTTCTTGGCCACGAGGGCACTGCTGCCCCATGGGGAGTCAACCAGGACTCCCAGGTCCCTCTTTGCGGAGCTGCTCTCCAGCAGGTCAACCCCTAATCTGTCCTGGTGCCTCTAATTTCCTGGCTCCTCCCTCTCGACCTTTTTGAAGACTGCAGTGATGTTGGTCTCTTCCAGTCCTCCGGCACCTGCCCTGCTCTCCAGGACCTCTCGAAGATGATGCAGAGCAGCTGAGCAAGAACCGCTGCCAGTTCCCTCAGCACTCTTGGCTGCAGCCCATCTGGACTCATAAATTCATGGGTGTCCAGTTTGCCTAAGTAATCCTTAGCCCCGTTTTACAGTTTTAGTATGCTATATAGGAAGAAGCCAATACATTCTTTTGATTCTCCCCGACAAGAGTTGCAAGTCTGCAAAGAATACCCCCTCAGCCTGCAGTTCCTAGTCACATGCAAGATTATTATGATTGTCATTGAGAACTGCAGATCTTTTTGCTGGTTTGCCCACTGTGCCTTGGGTTGTACCCAGTGTTGCCCCAGTACAGCATGCAGGAGGATGGTCTGGGATAAGCCAATGACTTAGAGCCCTCCGCAAAGAAAGATCCACAGCAAGGGCCGAACCTCTGAATGGCAGGGAAACTTTAGCATGCTCATGCATTTAAGGCAGAGTCTACCTAGTGATGATTAAACACTGCTTCAGTCTTGCAACTGTCACTTTTTTCCTTCTTGCTTTCATCTAACCATCTTGACATACATAGAAACATGACTTCTTTTTCCCCAAAGAAATAAAGTAAGATTCTGCATGATTGAATAAGCACTTTTCTAATAATATTGGGGAAAGAAAAACACTCCGCTCAGCCCCAATCTGAAACTAAAACTAAGCCGGCATACACTATGTCCTTTGAACTACTTTCCACCGATCAATGTTCATGTTGTTTACTTAGAGCAGACTTCCTCTTGTCTTTTAAAAGGCCACCTACTTATGTAGAACATATATCATGCAAGAATGCACAATTTACCTCGGACTGGTCACATCACGGGGACTATGAAGCCATTCCTGTATCTTGGTGCTAGAAGCAACTCCCACTTTGACCAGGTATGAGTGGGCTTCCACACGAAAAGCCCAGAAATGCTTCCCTTTGGCAATCCCGGTGTCACCAATGATGTAATCCAAGGTTGTGTAACATCCAACCTGTATACGTTCAGCTCCTAGCAGAAGGGGAAATCCAGCCCTGCTTTCCACAGAACTTCTTCTTGGATTCAGGAAGAGATGTTCGTTGTTGTACCCACATTTGTTATCAAAAAGAAAACTAAAAACTGAAAAACAGTATGCCCAAAATTAAACATTAGTTAACCACCTGGCTTTCTGTGCTTATAAAACACATTTTAAAACACACTGACACTTGAAATTCTCATTTTTAAAAGCTATCAGGAATTTCATACAAGCTAAAACAGTCTTAATATGCTAATTAATGCATTTGTTAATAATGCTTCCATAAATGTATGTGACTGGATAATTGCAGAAGTCTGAAAGCTTCTAAAAATTGCCTACAGCTTCTCATAACATTTACAGATACAAATTCTGCACTTTCTGGACAAAAATAAAATAGTACCTGGAGCTGGAGGTGTATGAAAGATAACTTCTTTGCTCCAAGCACTGCAGATGGACCCTTTGTATCCTCGGACTCTAAAGATATAGCTACTGTTGGTATCTAAATCAGATATTACTTTGCTCTTCCTGCAAACTTCAACCTCTTGCCACGTCGCACTCTCCTCATCTTTATTCAGCTTCCGATACTCAAGGACATAGATATCAGCTGAATCTGCTTTTCCTGGATTTTCCCAACTGATGACAGCCCTGTTGTATATTTTGCTCTTTTCTTCATTGATTTCTGGCACATCTAGACCTGGAATGACAGAGATTAAGCAGTAAAAAAGCTCTAAAGTTTAGGTTTACGTTATGTTAGAATTAGCCACAAAAGACCTTTGTACAGGTCTTATAGGTTATAGTGCAGTGAAGAAGAAAAAAATCTGACTCACAGACTGAAAGAGTGTGGGTGAGGATGGTTCTCTTCACATACACATGTACACCCCTTATTTTCTGCACTTACTTTGACAGTTGTCAATATTATTTTTGCTGGCAAGCCAAAAACCATACAAAACCCAATCATGCAATGAGAAGCCCTGGCAAGATGAGTTAGGTCTTACTTAACTATAGTATTTTGGAAGGCAACATAAAGTGGTACTGAAGATAATGGCAGTTTATAAAAGCTGAAGCTTGCTCTGCTGATAATTAATGCCTTTTGTATCATGGAGAAATAGAGAGCAACTATTCTGTTCAAGTCAGAAGCTGCATGACAGCTACCTAACTGCAACACTGTGTAAATCTAAGGCTCTCCATAGACAGACAAAAGACGATGTGTCAAGGCAGTTTTGCTGTTCCTGCATCTCACCATTGGAATAGAATGACAAGTCACCAAGGATCTCTTCTTGCCTTGCTATGTCCATCACAAAGTCTTGAAAAGAAGTTTCAGCGGCTGGCCTGAAGCTTCTCAGAGATTCAGTAGCTTTTTGGATCCTGGAATCATGAGGTTGAGAGAAGAGGGGGATTCATATGTATCCATTTCTTAAAAGAAAAATATTAAGTTTCTATTTTAAAAGAAGTCTTATTTTCATACAATTACTGAAGTCTCCCAGGATTATGTCTGGCATTGTTGAATGCCTTCTGTACATCAATGTAAAGATAATGAATAGATAACAGTTTAGATGGCAGAACATCTGAACTATTTGGGCATTATGTTCAAAGAACAAAACAGACATGAAGTGCTAATGGAGAACAACTATTAAGATCAAAGAGTTCAAAGCCAGAACAGAAATGTTAAACTAGTTTACAAATTCCTGATACAATCTCTGAGCAAAGACATGCATCAGGAAGCTGAATAGACTACCCTTATACTGCAGTTCTGCTAAACAAGGATAGATGTTGTGGGAGAGCATGCCTTTTCTTAGTATGCTCTGGAAAACAGCAATTTCTACCAAACCCCACCTGGACCACCTACCAATCTCTGAAAATTTCAGATACTGCATTGAGAATTTTGCTGTCAGATACCAGAAGAACAGGCTTCAGCAGATATACTGTACCTAAACTGGAAAATATTTAAAATACCTGACATGGAGTTGTCTTGCTGTTTGGACAAAACAAGACTGGTCGGTTTCTTTGAGCACTTCTTGAGCGTATCCTACAAGGCCATTATTTTCTAGGAGACCTTGATACTCCTCTATTTGGGTTTGTAGTTTCTCCAGCCTTAAATTCTTAGATGCTTCAATTGCCCTGAGAGCTACTGATCTCTTCTCTTGCAGAACCTCAAACAGTTTGTCAAAATTTTGAGATGCTTCCTCTTTAGCTCTCTCACCATTGCACTAGAAGGGAACAAAATACATTTGAGAGAGATTCTACAACACCATGGCTCGAGTAGGGCAACTTATTTAAGGTTTTGCAAAACATCATAGTGCTCTGGTCACCTGTCCGGCAGACAGGACCAATATTTTTGGTATTTAACAGCCAGCAAACCTTAAGCAACACCGCACCCAAGCTAGAAAGTACTTATTATTTCAACACAGCAAATGAAGAAAATTCAGATTTTTTTGATTACTTCTTGAAATATTCAGGCATTTGTCTAAGCAGCTCATGTAAAAGCATTATTATAGCAAGTCAGCCTCTGAAGTCTTCATGCACAAGAGCCAGATGCTCTTCCAGCTTCCTTACTCATCTTCATCAGGAGTCAAATCCATCTTCTCCCAAACACGCTTGAAACAGCAGGATCATCTCTGACTATTCTGGATAAGGAACTACAAAGCACAGGTTTGGTCTGCATCGAGATATGGACAGGGCTAGGAGCTCCTGCCATTTCTATAGGGAGTCTTTTAGCTTGCATGCGGGCACACGCCCCCGCTCTAGGCGTTCCATGGGGAGCTTCTGTGCTTAGCTCCAACTTTATTGCCACAGCATCTCAAACAAAACAGAGGGTGTGAATTGCACAGTGCCATTAAGCCCAGAGCCTTAAATCTAATCAGTTTCTCTTTGAAATAAAGCTTATCTGATAGCCAGTCTACCACATTTGCAGCAGCATCCAAAACTGCCTTTTTGGAGACACTGCTTGCAGTGTTTATCAAATTTCCCTCACCATCAGGATTATAATGCCTTACAGTAGGCAAGTGTGATCCAATGCTAACACAAATTACAGAAATTGGCGAAGTGAAAAAGAAAAAAAAAAATCCAAGGGCTTTGTTTTGTGCCTTCAATGACCATCCCCAAGCAATTAGTGAGTCATGCTTCTTACCTCTGTTTCCTTAACCAGGAGACCCAGCTGTGAGATTTGACTTTTCACCTGGCTCTCCTTACTGATGAGGTATTCTATATCTTTTGAAAGCTTCTCCTGTTAAAATACATCAGCAAGTTGTCAGAACACGGCTATTCCCCTCCAACTGGTGGAGCAGCTGGCTAGTGCTCAGCTTGCCTGGCTACAGGGCTGAAAACCAACTCTGGTTATGAAACCAGCACTGAGGAGACCTGGACTGGAGGGATGGATGACGAGTGCTCCCAGCAACGGGTCAGCGCTTTGGCCGGGCACAGCAGCAGCAGAGGCTTCTGACACCAACATAGCCCAAGCTGGGCCACCCCTCCCCAACCACAGGAGCCATTCGCTCTTAGAACAAACAAAATGAGGCTTGCAGGCATTTCTGTAACTTAGTAAAATGCCTCCTCAGTTACCTGTAACTCCTTTGCAAGAAGATTTTGTAGAAAAATGTGTGCTTTGGACTGGCAACTTTCTGAGAACCTCTGCACTTTCCTATTTGCAAAAGGGTCAGCAACTGTACAGTGGCTTTGCAAACACAAGTCAGAAGGCCAAGGAGCACAAGGCAAGCTTTTTTTTTTTTGGGGGGGTGCTGGTAGGGAAATGAGGAAGTGGCAGCAATCATTCTCTAATAATGTTTGCAAGTCTTCCCTATTATACTATGCTTAGGGAATTAACAGATACATAACATGCAAGGTTTCCCATATTATTTCAGATCCAAATTTAACTGGAGTGTTCTTAATGTGACAGTTCATCCAAGTCACAAAGACACTTGTCTGTACCTCCAGTGGTAAAAACTAGGCTGCAAAGTACTAACTACTTAGACCTTTTGCTTTGGTCAATACAGCTGGCTGCAGCACAGCTGTCTAAAATGAAGTGGATGCACTCTCAGGGTGTTACGGTTCAAACATGTGGTTCAAAATTGACAGTATAAAGCGTCTGGTTTCTCAAACATACCCTAAGCCACATCAGTACACACATTAACAGGTGTTGCACAATAGCACACCTCAAGACTAGATTAGTGTCCTCTGGCCTTCTGCCAGAGACAGTTTGCCCTTTCAGCAGCAGTTCAGTACACTTCCCCTTCTTAAGGCCAGGTCAAATAATACTTTACTTTTACCTTAAGAGTTTTGTAGGCAGTGCTCATAGTTGTTACTCTGTGGTTTGCATGAGATCCACCCAGTTTACAAAGATGACAAACGGGCCTTCTGCAGATTTCACAGTACATGTTTACTCTCTCCATTTCATGTTCCGGGCACATCAAAATCTGAAAAGACAACAGAGAGAACATAAGTGTGTTTCCAAATCCTGAAGTGCTCAACAAGCCATTAAATCAAGCAACCCCACAGCAGCATCCACCAGCATCCATCCAGCAGTATATGAACCATTTCCTAACTTCAGAGCTGGCATAACCCAGTAACGACCCAGTCTAGACTCAAAGCAGCTACTCAGCCCATCGCTCTTGGAGTAACAGATGAAATGCTGCCTCTAATGCCAGTTACTAATTGTTAGTTTATTTTGCCTGACTCCACAACTACAAGTTGTTCACTGTGAGTGTCTTTACAGTATCAGATTAAATGTTTTTTTTTTTTCAAAAAAAAAAATTCCGCTCTATACTAAAAATCACCTTGCAAAATTGAATAAACTAGAACAATTTCTTAAGAGGTAAAATGCAGTTTGACTCTAAGTTCAGAAAACAGATAAACACATCTAAAGGGGAAGGAGTGGAATCCACTGCCCCATTCCACAATCCTGGAAAAGCTGCCAGAAAGGCAGCATTTGGGTCCATCTATTCTGCACTATCACAGAAGAAAAGGTTCTCAGCTGCAGGCCAAAGTGAAAAACATGCAGTTCCGTGAAGAACCCAGGTCAAAAGAGTCAAGTCATTTAAAAAAAAAAAATAAGGAAGGAGAAGAGGACAAAACAGAAAAATTGCCAGCAGCATAAATACTGGAACACAAAGCTAAAGTGCAGGTCTTCCCTGAAAACAGCTCCCAGCCCCCAAATGTTCCCTCAGGTTTTGATAAGCAGAGCAAAGGGATCAGTCTCACAGCACCTTGGTACACGTGGCTGTCATTAGGCAGAAGGTGATAAGATACTATGCTGTCATTGCCTACTGGATTATGGAAAGGAAGCTTTCCTGAAAGACAGCCGTGCAAACTGGCGTCTATGAAAATCCACAGTCATGCTGTTATCCCAATGAAGTAGTCTTTCCACAGCACTGTCTAGCCACGCTAGGAGAAACCATCTATTTTTGTTTACCTTCATGGAAAGGGGCTTTACCAAGGGCTAGGGGCATTACTAAGGGCTAGAAGAAGTCAGCAGATTATCTGCAGGATACAGATCAGGGCAGGGACAACCCATCCCGTGCGCGCCTCTCCCATCCACAACACACAAGTTACAAAGTGCTCTCCAGCCTGGTTTTAAATTAATTAAAGTCGTGACTGGGAACATTGTAAAGGAGATTCACAAATACTCTAAGCATTCAGTTCAGGTCTTACCAGGGCACCGTAACCGAATACGCATTTCTTCTCCCCTGGGTTAAACTAAAACACTCCTCAAAAAGATGTCTATAACATCAAAGTGGTGAAGTGCACTGTTGTGAAGCTTTTATAAGAAGCCATATATTTATAGCTAATCCATGTATATGATGGCTTTATCACTGTTGTTCTTTAAACAACACCTCTGCCTTCACATATAATTTCAGAAAGCCAGAGTTTCCATTAATGCTTGGGATATGAAGGTTGGGATGATCAAAACTCCCCGAACACCAATGCTAGACCCCTCACACTATCTCCCTTCTACACAACAGATCTAAGCAGTGTGCTAGAAGAAGCTTCACTGCTGGAGGTACTTTTAATGGAGCTTGCTGTGTCCTCCTGCTCCAAAACCACCAGCTGCCTGTGCCCAAGCGCCAATCCCAGGTCTTGCTGTCCCTAACGAGGTCACAAAAATCAGCCCGAGGCTCCCTCCCCATCACAGGCCACAAGCAGGCTGCAAATGCAGGCACATCAGAACAATCTTTCATTAGAGATGGAACTGTGACCACCGTCCCTTCAACTCAACAGGGCACAACCACGTTCTGCATTCTGCTTAGCAGCAGAAGCAAAGTTCTGCAACCACTCTGTTTTGCCTGAATACAGCAGAAGTATGAAAAGTAGAAAACTAGCCATTGTATTTTCATCTTCTCCCTCATTATTTCCTAGCTAAGAAATAAAGGAGTATAGTGACAGTGGAGACTGAACTCTATGTCCTGCTATAGTCGAATGCATGGAGAGAAGAAAGAGCGGAGAGGAAAACAAACATATAAACAACTCTATTTTAGATTGAGTTCAGGAAAAAAAAAATCCAAAGGGAACCTGTAAAGCTGAGAACAGAACAGCTGTTGGTGGGGTGTTTTTTTCTGTTTGTTTGTTTGAAGATTTACCACGTGCAGATATGTCCTGCTTGACCTGATCCTTGGAGGAAATGACTGCAATTCTGCTGGTTCAAGATCTTCAGGTCTTACAAAAGGAGAACAAATCACAAATAACACAGTCCATTCCTCAAAGAAAAAAAAAGCCTTCATTCTAGGGTCCCTTTCAAATGCAGTTTCTATGTACCTTCCAGTAACAACTACCTGATCATCAACAAGAACAAAACCTCATGATTCACTCAAAGAGCAGAGGTCACTAAAGCAACAATGATCCTAAAAAGCTACCGCTGCTGCACAGATGTGTCTGCAAGCTCCATCTACACCCACACTAAATACATTAAGATACACACTTACCTTGGGTCTGAAGTTGGTGGTTGGTCCTACATATTCGTGCTGGGCTTTTACAGTCCCCCAGGGATGATACACCTTGAAACACTCATTACAATAGCTTGCGCTGCAGTCCATGCAGCTCTTGGTGGACTCTTGGGCTGGAGGCTTGCAGAAATCACACATAATGGCTGTGGCTGCCCTGGCTGCCTGCCTGTATCTTTCCACAATGGTTTCCAAAGTAAGGTTTCGAAACAAGCCACTGATGCCACGTTCTCCCAGATCAATATCATGTTGACAGCCAGGACAAGGAAACATAGTTGTTCTAGAAGTCAGGGAATTGCGTTTTCTGCCTGCATGGACAGCAAATCCAAGTTCAGTAGGAGCAAAAACTAGAGTTTTAGGTGTTTTAGGAACACAACACTTTATGAACCAATCCCAATTTTTTTAGCAGATCATCCAAACCAATACAATACTAATACATATGCATTCTGCCAAGCCAAAGAGAACAGATTTGCCATTTCAAGGCACTGTAATGTCTCAGTACAGACACATAATAAACTCCTCTAAAGCTTAATTCAGTGTTAAGACGAATTTAACTGTTCCCATACTATCATCTGCTTCCTGTAATTTTGTTTTTTGCAACACCACTATGTCAACATCACTACCCTTTTCTTCTTAAAATCAGGCCATGCACTGCCAGACGCTTGTCAATACAAGCCCTTTTCTCTTCAGAATGTCCCACCATCTTTGCACAACTGTGGAAAACAGCTGCCTAAACTCATGGCAAGTCACTAGACACAGGCTACTTTAACTACTCTGCGTGCTTACACAGGAAAAAAATGTTTTCTTTCATAGGCCTAAAACACTCTCCAGCAATTATATAACATGTAAAGCTTCAGAAGCCATTCCCTCAGGAAAACGCCCTGGAGATCCTGATCTAGTTTTGGATGCATTCACGTTGCAGCCATTTTTAAACACTAACCATCTATTTTCCGGAAACCATTTAGCATTAGGCTGCCCAGATATACTCACAGCTTTGTAACATGTTCAAGGGAAGGATGACTATTCTCAGAGTGAGAAAAAATAGTTATTCCCACATGGAAACAGCCAGTTTTGAGCTTCTAGAAGTTTGCCTTGGCTGAGGTGAACATGTTTTCCCAAGAGCAGACATAAAAACAGGCAGTAAAACAACCAAACCAAGCTAAATCAGTTAGACAAAGCAGGTCGCAGCTGACTCAGTCTTTCCCCAGCTGAACAGCCTTGCTAGAAAAGGACTGCTAACTATACTAGCACAGAGATCAAAGCGGAACTGAACACTGAGATAAGTCAATTTGAGAGATTCCTTTACTCTGGGATAGGGAACTGCAGATCCACATGATTAAACAGGGTTAAGCCTATCACATTTTGTTTTAGAGGAGGATTGCAGAGAGGTTACATTCCCACCAAAGAGCTACATGAAATTTTCTCCTCCTTGCCAGAATAAAGTCATCCAAGGCTCAAGCAAAGCTGCAGACTTAAAAAGCCCTTGGAGCGTGTTCTGAAATGGCTCCTGCAGAGCCAAAGGCTCTTCCCAGCTGAGCACCCTCAAAACTGCGGAGCAGGGAGCGCACCCTGCCCCACTCATGAGCTCAGCAAGAGGAACAAGGAAGAGGAGCAATCTGAAGAGGGCTAAGACAGCACTTACACCTGACACGTATCCTCTCAGTTCCGCATACAGAGAAACTAAAAACCACTCTCCAACTGGAACACTGTTTTAACATCCCTTGGAGGAGAACGCGCACTGCCTCTGCAAAGCAGTCTGTAAATGGAGGTGTGATCAGCGTGTGTGCAGCCAAGGGCTTACATGGCTGAAATCAGTTCTTTATGAGCAGGGGAAACTGGTTCATCTGTATTCAGGCAGCTCCCCTCCAAAATGAAATGAAACATTAACATATCTCAAGTGTCCTTTAAACGCTAGCCAAAAAGACACTTGTTTTATGTTGTTCTTCTATGATTGCTACAAACAGCAGTTTCACGCCTCCCTTCCTATCATTCACTTCTCAAGCTCTTTCAAAACACTCCCGTAAGGAGCTGATTCCTTCACAAATTAGTGAAATGTGCCCCGCAATAGTTGTGCACAAGGGCCAGGTAACAAGCCAGAACCAGAGTGGGAACAAGCGTGCACAAGTTGACGGTCTCAAAGCCAGCTGGTCTTACACCTTTCTGCAGGTTCTGAGCAGCACAACGAGGTCACATTTCCAGAGCACAGTGCTAATAGCCCAAACCAACCGTATGTATGCAATGCTCTGGTGAATGGAAGCAGAGATTTTTTATATTTTTTTAGTACTTACTTGAAGTCAATTAATAACCCAAACCATACATCCTGTAATACCTGTAACTTGGCATATACAGCAACACATACATGCAATGCACAGAAACAGCAGTAAAACACATTATATATATATATATAACTTAAAATGTATGCTCCAAGCCAGCAGTCTGCATAGAATGGAAAGAGACCTTCTGCAAAGGCTTCTACAATGGCCCGAGCAGAAGGATGATTTTGCATGCAGTATCATGCAGTCAACAGCTATAAGAACGGGACAAGGAATACTTATATTTTCTAAAACTGAAAGAATAACGATACAGTGTCGTTTGTACAAGACTGCCTACAAGCAGTTCACTACAGCAGAAAGCAAGCAATGACAAAGCAAGGTAACACGGAAAAATATGGTGCAGTGGTCAAGTTTAAAAATACAGTCTGAAATTCTTATCCGGTAGCATGCTTTTGAAGCCTGGCCCAAGCGGCTCCAATGTGGAATTGGTGTCTGTTTAACTCGAAGACGAGTTTAGCTGCAATCCAATTGAGGCCTTTCATTCTGCCAGTCATGGAACAAAAGAAGACTGCAGTGATGTGCCATGCTCTACATACTGGTGACACAGTACTTACAGAATGCAATTCAACACACAGAAAGTAAGTCCTGAGTATCTTAAGATGTCTCATCCCTTTCCACTAAATAGTGCTCAAGAGCTTAGGCCTTCTTTTAATTTGTTTTGCTTTTCTGTTTCAAAACCTGTAAGCCTGTAAATATACTTCCTAAGCTCATCCAATACTTAAAGCATTCCCTTTTTGCCTAGTGAGAAAGTTAAAATATTACCATGTAGTAAGAATTAGTCTGCATATTGCTTATGGGATTTATAAACTCATATTTTGAAATGCAAACACTGTCTCTTGAAATATGTTACTTTGAGCACTGTCTTTTCTATCCTTGTCTAACTTTCACTTTGCTAAAATCGAATTCACACAAAAAGACTGTGAATTCAATTCTGTGAATTCTGTGAATTGAATTCACAAAAAAAGACTTTTCAAGTAGCAAAAACAAAAGGGATTCTACAGACATATTAGATTTGCAGTTCAGAGAAACTTTGATCCTCCCCAGAATCTCTTTTATACTTTGCCAATCCAGTTTCCAAGTATTTATTTTGTCGAACACTAGGAGTTAACACAAAGAAGCTTCCATTGTGGATCACAGGCAGTGAATACCTTGACTGGCAGCTGGAGAACACACTACTGATTATTATTGATCCAGTAAAAAAATGAGGTTTCTACTTTTGTAGAAAAAATGAAATATATCACAAAATGTTTTCCTACTCAGACTCCAAATTCACAAATATTAGAATATGTAAAGCTGCCCAGGAGCACCTTTAAGTCAGGCACATCTTAAAAATACACCATTTAAGTATCCTCTTCCCACATGGAAATACTAACACTTCCAATTGTAGAAAAGTCACCCAACCTAGAGCTGTGAGTTTGTAAAGGGATAAGACATCTTAAAGATAAAACCGTGTTTTCCAAGTACAGCATCACCAGCATTCTGTGGTTATGGAAGACATGAATGTTAATTCTGTGAGAGTTTAAACAACAAAAAAATGCTTTTTAAAAGTCAACTGGATTCTGATGCATAAAAAAGGAAAAAAAAACGCATACTGCCATCCTCAAACTCAGTCAACGTTTGTAAACAGATCTTTAGGTAGGAAAAGAGAAAAAAAAATGGAGACAAATTCATAGTTTAAAACTAATATTCCTACACTTTAAAAATTTTCCCCACATCAGGGGTGCTTTCTGTGACCTAAGCAGATAAATTCAGCTTTTCAAAAATTTAAGTGTCCTACACTGTCTTTGTTTGCTTATAACACTTCTGCAGCTGAGGCAATCTGACTTCCTATCAGTTGCTTTGTTCTTCATGTGGAATGTAAAATTCAGATTTGTGGTTACTTCAGTTCATTCCTTTTTTGAAGGATACAGAATTTCATAGGCTGCTCAAGTGTCTGCCAATATTAGGCCAAGAGGAAGATTTGTTCTTCCCCTTTTTGACAAGACAGCACACCTAAAAATAAACATTTACGCTAACATCTGAGAACAAGCCCCAAACAGGAGCAGAGATGCTCAGAGTATTATCGCAGCTCTGGGAATTTAGGAAATTACATCTACTCAAAACAAAGAGACATCGTCTACCCTGCAACTTGACATGTCATTCAGCACGGTAAGTATGAGAAAAAGTGACAGATTGCTGTATTTAGTTTTCCCTCATACCTGTATCTGCTATTCTGAACCGTGAACTGAACTGTGTGCAGAACTACCTGGTCCAATCAGCAAGGTTTGAATTTCAGTCCTTTCCTTTTTACTCAGATACAAGCAAAGGGGCTCTGATCCAATAAAGACCTGATATTGCCCTCCACTTAAAAGTGATACTATTGACCATGACCTCTTGGTGTTATAAACATCAATACAATAATTATATTTCACTGTTAGGAAGAAAGCAGTTTTACTGAAAAATGATCAGTTAACTCTTTTCTTTTTGCTTTAAAATGGAAAAGATAGCTGATGTATTTGTACCTTTTTTGTACGTTTAGCCATGCACACGCACGAAAAAAAAAAAAAAATCCAACTCTGAACTTAATTTCAGTCCAGTTGACCTTTAAGTCAATTGTAAAACAGAATGAAAAGCTTGCCTAATAGAAGTCCTCTGCACCTTTACTCGCTGCAAAAGCCACTTTGTGGACTTGATGGACTTGACCACTGACAAGAAAACTGTATGCTAACCAAAGATATTTAACTTGAGATCTAAACACTATGCTATCTAGAGCCATACAAGAAGTGAAGCATTTCTACCTCTCCACCCAAAAGACCTCCTCTGTGAGGCTGCGAACAATGAACAGAAAGCTGTTTTTAGAAATTGAAAAAATGAGATATACCATTGGTTTACAATGGCTCAGATGAAGACCATCAATTGTTTTCTTTCCTGTGACTATTAAACTATTGTAAGGCTGAAAGGAAAGGTTGATTATTTTCCTAAAACATGACAGCTATAGCATTAAAGTAGAAAGGAGGAGGAAGAAAGGACAGGTGGATGGAAAAAATATATAAATACATACATATGATTTTTTCAAACTTACTCGATTTCTCATCCATCAATGCTGCACAAGTGTCAACTTAACCACATCACATGTTCTTTTCTACATACACTAACATCACAGAAAATCAATCAGCAATACGATATACACTTTATTTTATATACAAAATAAATTGATTTCACAATAAAAAAGTATCATTTTACAGAAAAAAACTGCATATTTTAAACTAAAACCTTAAATTTAACAAGAACGTGCACTCAATTTCAACTGAAAAATAAACTGTTCTACCAATTCCAGCTTTTCTATACTACAATAAACTATACTTGAAAATGCAAGCTGTGTGCACACTAATCCAAAATACGGATGAGTCATTTTTGGTTTCTTAAGAATACAAAGACCAGAATCATTTAAAATAGCTGGTATCCTTAAAAAATCATAAGGATTCCTTAAGAAAGAAAAGTAAGTAACTAAATAAGGAAGACATCATATGTATTTTCAAGTATAAAAATAACGTACAGCAGCATGCCCTATACAAATGTGTCAAAAACTACCATTTTTGATGCTTTGGATATTTTTATTATTTTATTGCAAATCCCACTCAGGATATATAAGTTTATAAATTAAATAAAGTCTGTGTGCATAAGGAAGTAAGCACTAGCAGAGCACACTTCCTTGGGATGCCAGACAAGATATGTGCAAATGTCAGCTGCAATTTAGTTGAATACTGATGGTATCAAATTTTTGAGAGCAATCTCCCACCCCACAAATGTCTTTAACACTGCAAGCAAAGACAGCACAACCTCTACGTTTAACTTTCATTCTTTAAAGCTGCCATTTCCATATGCTTTCCATTTTTCAAATTTGAATCATTTGAGAATTTGAATCATGTTAATTTTTCCTATGATGTGCATCTGCTCAATGCTCCTTAGGAAGAAAGCCCAGCACTTCCGTATCTTTATATCCTGCTGCTGCCCATCAAAGAGGGACCTGGGCCACTAACAAAGCCTTCATCTCCCTCTACCTTGGTCAGATGAGGAGATAGCACACATATTACTCCAGTTTGATGGGATGGTGGAAGGCTATTAGAATTTTGAAGTTACAGCCCCCCTGCAAAAACTTGAGTGCATAAATCACAGCAAGTAGGAGTCCTTACTGCTATAACAAAGCAGTAACACTAAACCTTGTGAAAAAGGTACGCAATAAATCTGGTGGAGCAGCAAGTTAAGCTCTTCAAATCTTAATTCTCAGGGCTCCCAAGCTACTCTCTCCTGACACATGAGACATCAGTGTTTGGTTTCTCATAGTAATTAAATATCAGTCTCTCAAGAAAGCTTCTTTCTCATTCAGCACATGGGCTCCATGGCAGCGAGCAGACACCACACAGTGTAAGATCTGTATATGCAGTGGCTGGTGGAGAGCTAGAAGGAAGACAGGTTTTGACAGGAGAGAAGGGATTATCTTCTTGCTTAAGCTGCTGAATGCGGCATGGGGAGGTTGCTCCCCATGCGTTGCCTGTCTGATACTTCCACATTTCACAAGGCACATCTCTCACAGGGAGGTTGCCCATGGTGTATTCATTACTGCCCAGGCACTCAACCTGGAGGTCTGATATCCAATTTGCAAAAACAACGTGGAAAGCTGCAATTGAAACCAGTGAGAGCTTTAGGCAACACATATGAAGGAAAATAAGCACATTATGCTTAGGGAATTAACAACAAAAAAGGTAAATGGACTTCTGTTTCAGAGAATTCAGTTACCATGAGGCTCTCTTCACTCTTAAGTTTGCAGGAAACTGGTATTAGCTTAGACTGTAAGTAAGCAATAAATAGCAACTGGGGATTGTCCATCCCACAACTGGCCGCTCAGCTGCGGATTCCTTCTCATCATGTAAGCATCCATCAGCCAAATCAAGGCAAAGACAACATTTACTTATCCATCCTATTGGAAAAAAAAATCAATACTAAAGAGATGTTAAAGAGAAACACTTGAACTTGAAAACTGGGAAAGGGAGGATGATCATAATAGGAGGAAGTCATAACTACAGAATTCAGGCAGGTAAAAATCTGAGATCAACTTAACAGAAACATGACAGATAAAAAAGTTGTTGAAATTTATATCTTACTGCTCAGAGGTCCTTAGAGTACATAGAACATTAGGAATAAATGAAAACAATGGCTACAAACATTTGCATGATACTACAAAGACTAATTTATTTCTACATGAAATACAGTGCATTGTCCTTACAATAAAAATATTCCCATTGTTCTTAGTGTAGAACAAACAAAACTTGCACTATTCCCCAAACTGTCCATTTAGCTGCTGGTGTCAGGAGTACCAGGAGGACACTTTAACAGTGCAGATACCATTCACTTCAGATCAGCATAACACAGATGAAATGAGAAAGACATGAAAATCCCTGACATGTACCTGATCTGCTGATCCTGTCGATTCTGTCCATGCTTGGGGAATGCATTCGAATCCGAGGGCTGCTCTGGTTAGAGGACTCGGAGCCTGCATCAGTGAAAGAGTCTTCGAGTGTGAAGAGAATTTCTTTTACACATTTGTGACAAATACTGTGCTGACAAGGAAGGATGAGCGGATGGGTAAATAACTCCTTGCATGCTGGGCAAATGAGTTCTCTCTCAATATTCTTTATGGTAACCTTCATGGTAGAACGGGGAGAGAAAGCAAGTGTAAGCGTGGAAACTACAAGCCATAAAGCCCTACTGCATCCCTGCACGCACACCAGCTGCTGAAGCCCAGCTCTGCAGGACGTTTATTTTTCCGCACAGCATTAATCAGCCTTTTGGAGGCACGGCTCTGACCGGCACTGCACTCATCCCCAAGCCACGGCTTCTGAGAGCACTGGGCATCCCGCCTTCCCGCTGAAACCAGCCAAACGCAGTTCACGCCCGGGTCACGCCTGCATTGCAGGGGCGCAGCGAGCAGGGGAGTAGTCCCAGCTCAGGGAAAAGCCCCTCTGCGGTGGCAGCCACCACCGTTACCGCGGAGCAGCCATCTGCAGGCTCAGCGCGGCGTTCGCAACGGGCACGCACCAACAGCCGCCTCGCACACCGCCTCGCACGGCTCTGCCCCGACGTGCCAGCCCGCCCGGGCACCGGCGCTGCCGCGGCGCTCGAGGCCGCCGCAGCCCTTGTCCCTCTCCCTTCTCCCCCTCTCCCGTTTCCCCGCGCACACGGCGCAGCCCGGCGGGACGCGCCGAGCACCGGGGCCGCC